GGAAAGAGTTTCTCCGAAGAAAAGTTGGGCAATGACATTGTCTACCACACCACTCCAGTGCCTAGGTCTTGTCCCACATGGACTTCAGCTGAAAGGTGAGGTTTTTAATACCACTCTGAAAGTATTAATAGACATTTACTTACAGCTTTTCATGTTCTGCTCGCAGAGCTGACTTGGTTACGTTACTTTGTTGAGTTTTCTTCTAAATAAAACTTAAGCATTACACATTACATCACATCCTATGGACAAACTTCAGTGCCTTTTCTTTTGCTTTCATTGAACACTGTCAAGAAGAAAGATCTGTGCAGCAGCAAGCCAGAACAGTAAAGAACTTCAATAAAAAGTAATTTCAATACACTAGGGATTACTCTGCTTTGCAATTGACAGTTAAATGGACCTGATACTAAACATGTGTCCCTCAGAATATAATATCCTGTAAGATAGCTAAAGCTTATCAAAGCTAAAAAGAAAGCAGTGGTAGCTCCTTTCTTCTACCCACACTATAAATTGCCACATGTAGTAACTGTCCCACTAGTGCAATTCATGCTTTAATCATCATAGCTTTGAAAAGATACTGGACAATATAACAGAATAGGCAGCAATAAAAACAGTTCACCTGCTTTAAAGCACTACTGCAAACAAGAACTAGCAAGAAACGTCAAAACAGAACCCAAATATTAACCTCTATCCACATCTGTCAAACATTTTAAGGCTTTTTTTTTTAAAGGGCAATAATAAACAATGGAGGTAGTGCTAGTAGACAGATGCAAGATCTAACTGTGTTTTCATTTCATTATTAACACCAAATTTGAATACTCTTTCCAAATAATAGCAAAGTGAAATACTACTTTCTAAAATAAATAGCTAATGTTAAGACAATGCCAGGCTTTAATACACCATTTATTTTAGATAAGGTAGTAAACTGTACAGATTTCTAGTATGTTTTCTTTTTTCATATATAACAGAGCACAGTTGACTCACCAGATCCTCAAACTCTTTAGAGATCACTGAATTAGGCTTCTAACACTTTTGAGGAGCTGGGCTTAAATATAAGTTGTTTAATCATTCCATCTGATGGTGGACATCAAATGTTTCATACAGGTTATTTTTCTGTAACACCAAATGGAGTAAAACTCATTTACATTGCAGTAAGTCAGCATACATTAACTATGCTATAGAATTTGTCACCTGTAAAACTACAGTCTTGATCTCCAGCCCATTCTAGCCTAAATAAAATCACTGCACATCAGCACACTCCCATTTTAAGATTCACAGTTCTTTTTTGGAACACAAGTTGAACCAAGTACAAGCAGCAGCAGAGAACAGTCTTACGCACCCTGCGCCTGTTCAGCCCCACACTGCACAGGGCTCACAGAGGTTTCACAAAACTAGAGCTGAAAACCAGATAACCTTGGCAGGCAAACTTCAGTCCAAGCCAGCCAATCACGAGCACAGGAGGGCGAGTCAGTGTATTCCTCTAACAATACTGGAAGTACAATATTGGCCAAGTTTCTGTCAAAGACCAGAAGACAAACCTGAGGTAAATGCGGACAAGCTTAATTAGACAAGAATAATTACTGAATTTAGAAGACTGCAAACAATTAGCTGTATACCCGTAAGGAAAAAAATGCTCGACTGCAGGATTTTCTGAAGCATTTATCTACTGTCACAAGGTACCAGTACATCTTTTAACAGAAATCTGTGCACGGGTCAAACGGTGTAAACAGCAAATTTTAAGAAGTGAAACTTTTACTACATGAAGCCAACTATGTCTGTATTATTTTACTAATCCAACCTGAATGGATTTTAGGTTCCTTACCTGTAGAACTACTTACCTCATCATGCATCAAAATAATAAGAACAAGAGTTGTCTTAAATAGATCAACTTCTGATAAGAAAGTTAAGACAGTGCACAGTAAATAAACTGTATTTTAATGTGTTACAAAATTAGTTAATAGCCAGACTACCTCCCCAAACAGATGTCCACTACTACTAGGTTTGCAAAGATTTCTTTCAAATAGCTTGAGATGAAACAGCTTTTTACCTTACTCTTTTTTCTGTATGTCGATGTTTTGTAACACAAATACCATATACATTCATGGTTAATTTTTTCACATATAGGCAGCCTGCACAAAGCCCAGTATCCTTCAAAAGCCTTTATGGCTGGTGAATCACACCTGTAAGATTATTTGCATCGTAACATGTATCATGTCACAAAAACAATATACAAAAATCAGTTCAAGACAGTTACTTTAGTAACAGCCAAAAGACGTGAAGACAAGAAACTGAGCAAGAGTATCAATGTGTCAAACTTTGAGCTAAAGCAAAAAGCAAAAGTTCTTGTGGTTTTGGTTTTGGGTGTTTGGGTTTTTTTAATTTTCCAGGTATTCTTTTAATGACAAATATAAAAGATTGAAAAACATCCCATTCTGACTGCCTTTTTTTAATGATAAAAAACAACACAAAAAAAACCCCCAAATTGTCTGGTTTTATAATTACAAATACTAGGTAAGACAATACCTTCTCTGTACTGCAAAACCAACAAATACAAAGATGCAATCAAGTTTCTAAGCATCTCTAAATTTGAAATGTGATTTTTTTTTTTAAATTCAGAAAATTCTCAACAACTGTTCATTTTCGTCAGAAGATAACTCAAAGTACAACAACATCTAAACCTGTTTTTAAAGGAGCTTTCTTTCCTGATACATCTTTGAACATAAGCACTTCTTCTGAGTTCAGTACATTCACAAAATAGCTCAATTAAGAACAGTATCACCAATGAACTGACCACTGGAAAGAGACAAAATTTACCAAACATACAGAAATATAAGTTTTACCATAGCAATTATGCATATCAAAAGATGACACCTGTAATTAATTTTAAAAAGTTACAAAAAAAAAAAGAGAAAAACCTGAATTACAGAAAAGAAAGTCATATTTATTTAATGAAAAACTAGAAGTTAATAAAAATTAGCAAATACACAAAAAATATACACAAACAGCAGCAATACTATGTAGTGACTTACAAAGGGGAGGGATGGGGGCAGGAGGGGAAGCAGCGGCCAGAGACCAGACCGCTCAACATGGCTTGTCAGTCAAAGGGGGAAGGAAAAAAAACACAAACAAAAACACGAAACATTATCCTCTTCAACAGTACAATCAATCTACAAACAAGATTTTAGAATTATTTTACAACATTTCCTGTAGAATCAATTCTTAATACAAAAGATGCCCATTTTGGGTGTATATATATTTTCAGTGGTTTACTGTTGACTTCTTTTAAATATATTAGTGTTACTACATGCAACTGCTTCCTGTAATTTACCAGCCTTTCCTTTTATTTACCTTCATATATGTCTACCCTCCTTCTACCAAGCAATTTGTCTGACAGTCAAAGATGGTTACCCTAGTTTCACCTAAATTAAATGCAACGGTTTTAAACACTGGCCTGAAGAGGTTTGATTGCCATTTCAACACATGGATATAGTTACATTGATGCCTAAATTGCCATTTTCTGCAAAGAGCTGTGCAATGCTGGTGTCAAAGACTAGACAGTCACTATTCATAATGGCT